CTTCAGCACAGAAGTTCTCCCACTTCAGACACAGCTGATTCTCACAGCCAATTGGCCTGGAGGTCAATTCCTCCCAGTGATCCTACAACAACCAAGGCACCAAGAGTGTCCACCTCAGGTATCTGGGGAGGCTGAGCCACTGGACCCTACAGGACACCTGGAGCGCAGGGCCACTCTATCAACACAGGGAAGCAGCCAAAATGCGGAAACAAAGAAACAGGTCACAAATGGCAGAAATGGAGGAAAGCAAACGACTGGATATAGAGCTCAAGGCCACGTTTATAAGGTTTTTCAAGAATTTTATGGAAACCGCCGATAAATTTAATGAATCCCTCAATAAGTATAGTGAGACCATGGAGGACATGAAAAAGGACCAACTAGAAATTAAGCATACACTGACTGAAATAAAGAATAATTTACAGAGATCCAGCAGCAGACAAGAGGATCCCAAGAATCAAGTCAAAGATTTGAAATACAAAGAAAGAAAAAATACCCAACCGAAAGAGAAAAAAGAAAAGAGATTCCAAAAATATGAAGATAGTGTAAGGAATCTCTGGGACAACTTCAAGCGTACCAACATCAGAATTATAGGGGTACCAGAAGGAGAGAGAGGGCAAGATATTGAAAACCTTTTTGAAGAAATAATGACAGAAAACTTCCCCTACCTGGTGAAAGAAATGGACTTACAAGTCCGGGAAGCGCAGAGAACCCCAAACAAAAGGAATCCAAAGAGGACCACACCAAGACACATCATAATTAAAATGCCAAGAGCAAAAGATAAAGAGAGAATCTTAAAAGCAGCAAGAGAAAGACAGTCAGTTACCTACAAGGGAGTACCCATACGACTGTCAGCTGATTTCTCAACAGAAACCATGCAGGCCAGAAGAGAGTGGCAAGAAATATTCAAAGTGATGAATAGCAAGAACCTGCAACCAAGATTACTTTATCCAGCAAAGCTATCATTCAGAATAGAAGGTCAGATAAAGAGCTTCACGGATAAGAAAAAGCTAAAGGAGTTCATCACCACCAAACCAGCATTATATGAAATGCTGAAAGGTCTTCTTTAAGAAGAGGAAGAAGAAAAAGGAACTCTTACCATTTGCCACAGCATGGATGGAACTGGAGAGCGGATAAATACCACAGGATCTCACTCATTTGTGGAATATAATGAACAACATAAACTGATGAACAAGGACTGATCCAGAGACGGAGAGGTATTGATTGGACTGTCGGGCCTTGGAGGGAAGGTAGGGGAGGGGAGGGGTAAGGGGGAAAGATCAACCAAAGGACTTATATGCAAGCATATAGGCCTAACCAATGGACACGGACAACGGGCGGGTGAGGGCATGAGCGGGGGGGGGGGGGGGTAGAGGGTAACGTGGGGACAAGTACACATATGTAATATCTTAATCAATAAAAAATATATTAAAAAAAAATGCAGCCATGTCGGGAAGGATAAACATAGGACTAGTGGGGGGTAGAGTTTAAGAAAGAGTTGTTCAGATGACAATGATTCAGAATGCTTATAGGCACTGAAGAGAGAGGTTGATGACATGAGATACAGATGAAGAGCTGAAAAAGTGAAGTCCCAGAGTTGGGGAGTTTTAAGTCTAGATTACAGAATGAGTTTTCCAAACATGAAGGGCACCACTTCCTCTGAGAAGGGATGAAAGGAGGCAAGATTGGAGTCGATCCAGAAAAGCTTCAGGAGGGTAGGGAGGGAAGGTGGAACTCTTGATAGCCTGTTTCTTTATAAAGTACCAGAGGCCTGTTGCACGAAGAGATTCGTGCAATAGGCCTTCCCTTCTCCTGGCTGTGGGCATAGGTTTTCCTCCGGCACCCAGAATCCAGGCCTTTGCTCTGGCCAGAGCTGCCTTCCGTTTTCCGTCTTCGCGGACCCGGCCAGAGCCGCCTTCTGTCCTGCCTTCGCGGCCCCGGCCGAGCCACCTTCCGTCTTCCATCTTCACTGCTCCGGCTCGCCTTCAGTCTTCGCTCCGCCGCTTGGAACCTATGTATGCAAATTAACCACCATCTTTGTTGGCGGTTAATTTGCATTATCGTGCTGATTAGCCAATGGGAGGCGTAGCGAAGGTACGGTCAATTACCCTGTTTGTCTATTATTAGATAGGATAGGGTAAGGTCATCTGCAGAGAATTGAGTAGGAAATTCAAGAAGCATAGTGAAGGTCTGGGATGTTTAGAGATGTAAAGGAACTGCCACAATGACACTTTTCTTCAGTGTTATACAATTTTTCTCTCCCCAATGATTGAATGTAAGAACAGATGAAATGAATGGCTGGACTGATCTAGAATTAGGAATGGGATGGAAGACAAAGGGTAAGGAAACTTAAGTTTTACACTTATATGTGATAGTATCAGACTACTAAAATATTTAATTGCACTGATTTATCAATTCCAATTTATAAAACACTAGAGGCCCAGTGCACAAATATTTGTGCACTTGGTGGGGAGGTCCCTCAGCCTGGCCTGTGCCCTCTCGCAGTCTGGGACCCCTTGGGGGATGACCACTTGCTGGCTTAGGCCTGCTCCCCGGGGGATTGGGCTTAAGATGGCAATCAGACATCCCTCTGGCAGCCCGGGAGCCATCAGGGGATGTCCACTTGCCAGCGGGGAGCAGGCCAAAGCTGCAGTCTGACATCCTTAGTGCTGCTGAGGAGGCGGGCGAGGCTCCCACCACCACTGCTGTGCTGGCAGCCATCAGCCTGGCTTGTGGCTGAGCAGAGTTCCCTCTGTGGGAGCGCAATGACCACAAGGGGGCAGCTCCCGCATTGAGCGTCTGCCCCCTCCCTGGTGGTCAGTGTGTGTCGTAGTGACCAGTCATTCCCAGTCTTTCTGCTGTTAGGGTCAGTCTGCATATTACCCTTTTATTATATAGGATAAAGGCCTGATGCATGGATGGAGGCCCGTTGGTTTGATCTGAAGGGTGTCCCGGATCAGGGTGGGGGTCCCGCTGGGGTGCCTGGCCAGCCTGGGTGAGGGGCTGATGGGTGTTTGCAGCTGGTCACACCCCCCTTCAGGGTGGGGGTCCCCACTGGGGTTCCTGGCCAGCCTGGGTGAGGGGTTGATGGCTGTTTGAAGGCTGGTCAAGCCCCGCCCCAGTGGGGACCCTCACCCCATGGAGGTTTGGCCAGCCTGGGTGAGGGGCTGATGGCTGTTTTCAGGCTGGCTACACCCCCTTTAGGGTGGGGGAGTCCCCACTGGGTTGCCTGGCCAGTCTGGGTGAGGGGCTGAGGGCCGTTTTCAGGCTGGCGAAGCCCCCCCCCAGCGACGGAAGCTCCCAGCCTCTCCTTTTTTTCTTTTTTTTTTTATTCTGAGATTTATTTACCTTCTATAATTGAAACTTTGTTGCCTTCAGTGGAGCTCAGAGCCGGCCGTGGCAGGCGGGAAGCTTGGCTTCCTCCATCACTGAAGCAACCAAGCCTCCTGCTCACTCCAGCTCTGTGGCTGGCAGCCACCATCTTGGTTGGGTTAATTTGCATATAGTCGCTCTGACTGGCTGGTGGGTGTGGCTTACGGCTTAGCAAAGGAATGGTCAATTTGCATGTTTGTCTCTTATTAGATTAGATACCTTACTATATATAATTTATTACCTACAACTTTATTATATTAAAAATAATGCTGAGCCAAACCGGTTTGGCTCAGTGGATAGAGCGTTGGCCTGAGGACTGAAAGGTCCCGGGTTCGATTCTGGTCAAGGGCATGTACCTTGGTTGTGAGCACATCCCCAGTGGGAGGTGTGCAGGAGGCAGCTGGTCGATTTTTCTCTCTCATCGATGTTTCTGACTCTCTATCCCTCTCCCTTCCTCTCTGTAAAAAATCAATAAAATATATTTTAAAAAAATGCTGAATCACAGAAACAATTTATAGTAATAATTTTATTTGCTACTCGTTTATATAATTCAGTCATTCTAGTGATATTTATTTCATTTCTCAGGCTAAATGATTTTTAATATTAAGCTACATTTCCATTTATTTAAGTAAATGAAGGAATTGCTTTTAGGTGTACCCAATATAGAAAGAAAACTAACCTACATAGAGTTTAAAAGTATACCTTTGCCCTGGCTGGGTGGCTCAGTTGGAATGTCAACCCATACACTAAAAGGTTGTGGGATCAATTCCCAGTCAGGGCCCCTGGAGACAACCAATAGATGTTTTTCTCACATCAATGTTTTTCTCTCTCTCCCTTCTCTCTAAAATCAATAAACATATCCTTAGGTGAGAATTAAAAAAAAAAACCACCACACTTTTACATGCAAAGATACAGAAGGTAAAATCACTGAAAAATAATTAGAGAAAAGAAGACTAATAAAAAACTTAATTAAAAAGTAAAGCACAGGCTCTGATAGTTATTACCATATTGTTAAATATTTATATTTGTTATTATTTTTCTGACATCCAAACATTGTTAATTTTCTAGGAAATTACTGCAAAAAGTTAATAATTAGTTTTCATTATGGCTCAATTCTAAGAACTTAAGTAAGGTAGTTAAATGATAAAATACTTTTAGGTCTACTAAAACCATGCACCTGTTGATTTTAAAGTTGTTAATATAAAAAAATAAAGCAGAATAGAATGATAAAAGCATTCTGGCTTTTTTTAAAAAAAGAGAGATACCTTATTTTTTTGGCATTTGTCTCAAAATAATGAAGAGAGAGAGATGAAAAACAATAGGTGTTGGGGTTAGATGAAATCTAATTGGCTACAATAATTGTTTGAAGATAGGTGGTGGGTACATGAGGGTTCATTATATTATTCTCTTTATTTCCAAACATGTTTAATATTTTCCATTATAAAAATTAAAGTAATTAAGTGGTATAGGGTTATCTCTTAAGTACCCCAATTCTTGCAGGACACACTTATACAGAAACTATAATACTTATACAGGAAAACCTTCCTTATCCTACTGAATACATTTCCTATAAAAAGCCCTTAGCAAAAGTTAACATATATCTAATAATATTTAGAAATATTTTAGCTTACCATAAACAACTGGATACACTGTCCCTCGTATACCTGATGCTGGACAATGCATGTTTTTTCCATTCAAATATACATTTAATTCTACATGGTCATATGTAATACCCTAGGAACAAAAGAAAATATTAAAAATGGTAAAAATATAAATCACAATTATTAACAATTATTATTAAAATGCTGGAAAACACTTAGATACCAAGCACTATTCTAGGCACTTCATATTTACTCATTTAATTCTCACAACAAGATAGGTATTATTATCATCTCCATGTTACAGATGAAGTAGCTAAAGCACACCAGTTTAAATAATTCACCTAAGGCTGCACAGCTGGAAAGCAGAAGAGATGAGATTTAAACCTATGCAGAATGGTTTTGCAATACTTATTTTTAATTTGCATATAATTTTAAACTTTTAAAACACTCTTTAAAACTTTGCACAGTAGTTACTGACTGATGACAGAAAGAGAGCTTTCTTTGGAAGAATTAAGAATAGACAGCAGAGATTCTTCAACAGAGAAATCATTACAGACCAAGAAGCACCACTTCTGACTGTGGATAAAGTGTACCAATTTAAAAGCTTCTTAGAGGTAGAAAAAGATCTCATAGATAATGTAGTCTTTACTCCCTCACTTTCCAGTTAAGACAGCAAAGGCTCAGATAAGTCATGGTGTTAAAGGCTATGAAATATTTTCTTCAAATCTTCGCAAAACCAAGGTTAAACAATGATTTATTAAAAGTTAAGGAATATTGAGAAAGATAAACAAGCTACCTTTGTTTCATTTCAGTTTAGGTATCCCTATCTAATAATAGACAAACATGTAAGTGACCGTACCTTCACTATGCCTCCCATTGGCTAATCAGCGCGATATGCAAATTAACCAACAAAGATGGCGGCTAATTTGCATACTGCAGGCAGGGCGGGACAGCGTAGCCGCCAGCGCAAGCCGCCATCCCTGGCTTCAGGCTAGCCCCAGAAGCTGGTGATCAGGGGAGATGGGGGTCCCCTGCCCAGGCCTGACACCCCTGGCCGAGACATCAGGCCTGGGCAGGGGGCAGAGCCAACAATCACAGGGGTCTGGGGGTCCCCTGCCCAGGCCTGACGCCTGGGCCAGAGACATCAGGCCTGGGAGGGGGGCAGAGTCGGCAATCGGAGAGGTCTGGAGGTCCCCTACCCAGGCCTCACGCCTAGGCCAGAGGCATCAGGCCTGGGCTGGGGGTGGAGCCAGTGATCTGGGGAAGATGGGGGTCCTCTGCCCAGGCCTGACACCTCTAGTGGAGATGTCAGGCCTGGGCAAGGGGCCGATCTGGCGATCAGAGGGTGATGGGGGTCGACGCCTCTGGCTGAGGCGTCAGGCCTGGGTGGGGGGCCAAGCCGGAGATTGGTGTGAACTACAGGGGAAACACCTTTTCTGATCACTCATTGGCTAAGCTCCCTGTATGCCACTGGTAATATTCTTAGTAACTTGGGTAATAAGAATCCAAAAAGGTGATCTAGGGTTTTTCACCACACTCCTGGCAAAAAAAACGAAGGTCTGCTGCTGGAGGACTAAGAAATGTAATATCCTGCCCTAGCCAGTTTGGCTCAGTGGATAATGCCTTGGCCCGCCTACCGCAGGGCCTGGGTTCAATTCTGACCAAGGGCATGCACCTAGGTTGCAGGCTCCTCCCTGGCCGGGGCTCAGGTCAGGGCTCATGCAGGAGGCAACCAATCAAAGTGTTCCTCTCACTTTGATGTTTCTCTCTGTCTTTCCCTTTCTCTTCCACATTCTCTAAAAATCAATGGAAACATATCCTCAGGTGAGGATAAAAAAAAAAAAAAGTAATAAAGAAATGTCATATCCTATGAAAGACACATCTAGAAAATGCCTAAAGAAAGTTGTCATTTTTTCATGGTGAAATGACTGGAGTCCATGCTGATGAAAAAACCTTGGAGGCTGCGGTGACTGGCAGTGGCTGCAGCAGCGGGGTGATGGGGCTGGTGCCTTCCCCTGATCAGCCCGGTCGCCTCCCACAAAGGGAGGCCAGACTGAGGCTTAGGCCCGCTCCCCAAGGGGAGCAGGGAGCTGGCCTAAGCCATCACGAGGACATCCCCTGAGGGCTCCCAGTATGTGAGAGGGGGCAGGCTGGGCTGAGGGACAACCCCCCCAGTGCATGAATTTCGTGCAACAGGCCCCTAGTCCTATATAATAAAAGGGTATTATGGAAATTGACCCTAATGGTGGAATGACTGGTCACTGTGACGCACATTGCCCACCAGGGGGCAGATGCTCAACGCAGGAGCTGCCCCCTGGTGGTCAGTGCGCTTCCACAGAGGGAGCGCCGCTCAGCCAGAAGCCAGCTCATGGCTGGCCAGCGCAGCGGCGGTGGCGGGAGCCTCTCCCACGTCTGCGGCAACACTAAGCCATTAGTCAGAAATCCCCCGAGGGCTCCCAGGCTGCCAGAGGGATGTCTGACTGCCAGCTTAGGCCCAATCTTCTGGGGAGCGGGCCTAAGCTGGCAGGTGGACATCTCCTGAGGGGTCCTGGACTGTGAGAGAGTGCAGGCTGGGCTGAGGGAACCCCTCCCCCCAGGGTACTAATTTTTGTGCACCAGGCCTCTAATTTAAATAATAATAATAATAATAATAATAATAAAGCAAATTGATAATTGGGATTAGCATTTTTAATGAAAAGGTCTGTTTTCACTTTTTTAAAAAAAATCCTATACAATAAAAGCATAGTATGCAAATTGTCCCCTTGACCGGGAGTTCGACCAGGGGACGTGGCTGGCCAGGGGAAGGGAGGGCGTACCAGGCCGGCAGCTGGCAGCCGCTAGGGACCCTAGTGCACGGGGCCTCCAGAAATTACATAAAAAGCAGTAACTCTCTTTAGAGCAAGCATGTCAAACTTGTGGCCCATGGACAGCATACAGCCCACAAGGAATATTTTTGTGGCCCAGCCAATATAACAGTATGTAAGAAATGTTTTAATAAAGATTTTATAACTTAATTTTCACAAAATCCTATTATACATAATTATTAATAACAAACTATAATGTTTGCTAATGACTGATTACTATAACTGTGTTGCATTCATTTCTCTTATGCACCTTACTCACAGGTGCACCATTTCTCTCCACTAATACTAGCAGTGAATATTTTAGCAGCCGATTGCCACGTCATCAATCTTGGACTGACTTGTTTGGTGTGCGCAACAGGAAATATTTCACTTTCAGAGAACAAGAAAAATAGGTTTATTTGTGTTACATTTATTTGTGCAGTTATTCAGTGTCTGGTAAGTTAATGTTTAAGAAAAAATATTAATTTTTATTAAGATGTTCTATTATTTTATGTTAATGATTACTCATTTATCTCAGCCCTTTGTATTCAGCATGTCTCTATCGAAATAAACCTATGTTTCTATGAAAATTGAAGCTTTTGTTTTTTTGCGGCCCACATAAACTTAAACCTTGTTTATTTGGCCCGTGTTAGCCTTTGAGTTTGACATGCTTGATTTAGAGGACTACAGGAAATTTAGCAACTCAGATCGGGTGGTAATCCAGGCACCCTTCACCACCTGGTGGCAGCATAACCTATAGTATAAGGGCAAAATCTCAATACATACCAATACCAAAGAAAGAAGTGAAGCAGCAAGTGAGAACCCCACACCTCATCAGCAGCATTTGGTTCAAATATTTTCAAACTTAACCTGTCCTTTTACATGATCTAGAAATTAGGTTTGATTTTGACATAATGGTGCATTTATCAATAATTGTTTGCAGGTTTAGCAAACAGACTCATATTAAACTGTCTTCTGTATTATAACCCTGGAATCACCTTGTACAAGAAGTTACTTAACTTCTCCTAATCTGTAAAATGGTGATAACAATACTACCTATTTCATAGGATCATTATGAGGATTAAACAATTTAATCCCTGACAGGCACTTAAAACAGTAACTGTCTCATAATTATTCTTTAACAGAAATTCATAACAAATCTTACCTAATAGACAAACATGTAAATTGACTGTACCTTTGCTACGCTAACCAGCCAATCAGGAGAGTATGCAAATTAACCTAACAAAGATGGTGGTTAATTTGCATATGTAGGCTCCAAGCGGTGGAGCGAAGCCAGACGGCCCCGGGGCCGGAGCAGCGAAGCCGTATGGCCAGAGTGAAGACCTGGGTCCTGGGTGCCAGAAGCAAACCGGTGCCAGCAGTCAAGGGAAGGGAAGGCCTATTGCACGAATCTCTTCGTGTAACAGGCCTCTAGTTAAGTAATAAATGTCAAAATTTTCTCTGAGATCTCCAGCTGCAAAAATGCCTACTCCAGGTGAGTGAACTTTTAAAATTGTGGGCCAAGATTTCTCTGATGTTAGAGAAGCAGGAAATGTTGATCAGCAGCCAGTCAGTCATTAACTCTCCTGAATGGAAATAAGGGCTCACTGATATCCTTCACCAGCAACAGCTGTAGAAAGCAGACAGTTCGGTAAGGCGGCAGCATCTTCACCAAGTGCTCTTTTTGGAAAATGTGCCACCTCATTAGATGTATCCCTGTGCTTTGGAATTCAAACCACAAACTCCCAGGCAAAGTACATATACTAAAAGCAGTTCAAGTTTAATAATATACAGTGGAAGACAACTCCTCAAGAAAACTCACCACCACGTCTCCCTCCTGTGGAAGGCTGTTGGCTGGCAGCCTGTTTTTCTCCTCGTTGTTGTGGTATAGAGCTCCATCATTTCTCATCACCAGACTGTGCACATCTCGGCCGAGAGGAATCTGATTCAAATTAACTTTCTGAGTTGCAACACCAATACCCCAGATTCCTAAAAATATAATGATATTACTAAAAATATAATGAACTATTGTTTTGAATCTTTATTTTAAAAAAAAATCTTTTAAAAGTAGTTTGCAAGTTATAGTAGGTTCTGCAGACATAGCATAGCCTAGGAGATAAGAGTGGGCCTTGGAGTTGTACCTAGGTTTAAATCCTGATGTAGCTATGTCATCTTGGGTAAGTTGCTTAACCTCTCTCTGCTTACTCACTTGTGAATTATGGATCCCAACATTACTTACCTCACAAAGGTATTATAAGATAATAGAGGCCCAATGCACGAAATTCATGCATGGGGGTGGGGGTGGGGTCCCTCAGCCCAGCCTGCGCCCTCTCACAATCCAGGACCCCTCAGGGGATGTCTGACTGCTGGTTTAGGCCCACTTACACACTAAAATAATGTGTAAGTAAAGCACAGAGTAAATATTCAAAAATATATGAGCTATTTTCATTCTTCTTCTCTAAAATGATTTTTTTAAGAAGCTACACATTGAATTTAAAGGGCTTGGGTGTTCTATTTCTAGCACTATCTCTGAGAAGTAGGAAATTACTATCTTTCATTTTTTCATCTATATATAGTAATATGTGACAAATAACATATGACTCAGTCAATATCATGGAGAGAAAATTATTCATAAAGTATAAAATCATTTTGTTATCCAATACTTAAATCAGTGAATTAAAAACCTTTTGGGCTTAGGCTGACTATTATAATACTCATGTAAAATTGTTATACAATTCAAGAAACTATAAATTTTTAAAGAAAGCATAGACTTTAGACTTCTATCAGAATTCTATCTGACTTCTATCTGATTGCTTCAGATAATACTGAATCAGGGTATCTTAATAGGAGTTAAGAGAAAAACTCAGGATCATAAGATTGATTTTATCCTAAAATAAACAGTAAGAGTCTATATCTATATCTTATATGCTTGACCAAAGGAAATGGTGCACCTAGCTGCAAATTAATAATTAATTATATTAATAATAATGCTAGTGCCTCACAATGATCTAGTATGTCCTGTTGTTAAAACACTTTCATAGCCCACCCTGTGTAGCTCAGTGGTTGAGCATTAACCCAGGAACCAAGAGGCCACTGGTTTGATTCCCGGTCAGGGCATATGCCTGAGTTGTGGGCTCGATCCCCTGGGGGAGGGGGAGGGCATGCAGGAGGCAGCCAATTGATGATGTTTCTCTCTCATCAATGTTTCTATCTCTCTATCCCTCTCCCTTCCTCTCTCTCTAAAAAATCAATAAAAAAACACTTTCTAGCTCATGTAAAGAAGGAAAGGAAGGGCAGCTCCATTAATCCCATTTTATAGAGGTGAAAACTAAATCTAATTAAACTAAATTAACTAATTAAACCAGAATCACAAAGAAGAGATGGAAGAAAATGTCTTCTAAGTAAGAGTTTAGAGCTTTTTTACTACCTCATTAATCTTTTTCATATATTGAAAATTACTCCTAATATTTAAAACAATTAGGACTATACTAGTAAAGTACCATTATACCAACCTGTGGACTGGATTTTGAATTCAAAGTAGCTTTTGTTTTGATGTAAAGGTGCACTGGCTAAACAACCTCCTGTTCCACATATTCTTCTTCCATTTTTTACAATAACAACATCTGTTCCTAAATAAAAAATGCAGACAATGTGTAAAGTTTTGTATTTTCTTATCCAACAATCAAGGTTAATTTCTGTTTCACTTTTAGCTCTTGGTCAACAATAAAAAAGTACACTATATATACTTTAAGATATGGAAATAATGTAAATATTTAATTCACTATTTTTTTCCTGAGAGAACATTTATATTTAATATTCATTTGTAGCTACAAATCTTGTTTAATTAGGCAGGTCCAAACCCTGAATTATGCTGAATATTTAAAATACTTTAAATAAAAATAAAAAAACTAACTTTCTTTCATTTTTAGCCAACAAATCAATTTGATTTCTTAAATCTCTTAATTTAAATAAAAGCGTAAACACCTAGAAACTGGTAAATTAGTATAATTTTCAATTCAATCCAGGTGAATTAAAACAATCTACTAACAGCTGGCTGAATATCTACTAAGTACAAAGTACTATGCTAGTGCATTAGTCAAGGAAGAACTGAAGAGTACATGGAATATGGAAAGAAACATACATCTTTGTTCTTGAAATAGGTAACACTGAAAAATGCTAACTTTAGGATTTTAAAAATGTTTATAAGATAGCTACTATAAATCATATTGCAAATATGTAATAAAGGTTTTAACATCATTAAAAGCACTTTATTTTCATGGAAATTTTTAGTTTAGCTCAAATAACATTTGATAGATGAGACTGTGAGAAAAAAACTGCAGTGTGGCCTCAATACCAATTCTTTTCCAAATCTCAATTAAGAATGTATATAAGAGAACATGAAGAGACTTAATTTAATTCTAATATGTAAGAAATATACTATAACATTGAGGCATGTGACTCCCAAGTTCTGTGGCCAGTAGTAAGTGTAAAAGCCAAGAAGATTTGGCTATTGGAATTATATAGGACTCTTTCTAAGGGCGTTAAATAAAACTAGGGCATAGTAACAAGAGGTATTAGCAGGGTGCAATGATCACATTAACTCACTATTGGATTCATGTTTAAACAAAAATTATTTGAGATAAATACGTAATAGAAATGCAAAATTTTCAACCTCAATCACAATTCTAAATTTTCAGACACTCTCCTAAATAAGGTAAAACTAAGATCCTATTATATGATTATTAAAAATTCACTAGCATCCATTTGTTTCTAATCATGAATGTTAAACTCCAAATTCTGAGTAACTTTATAAATAATTTACATCTTGCTGCAAAATGTACCACCAGCAATTTCAACTGGAGAGCACCCAGGACCCAGCTTCTCCTTGAGGTAGAGACCATTTAGTGCTTGGCATCTAGCAGATGCTCAGCAAATAACTAATATAGAAATGAATGAATAAATATGCTCTGCTAAGCACTTTGCGGTGGACATGTAGCATCTGTTTTCCCTTTCCCAACAGCCTTCCCTCTGGAGTTCAAAACAGTTCCAAGGAAGCTGACTCAATCTCTGGCTTCAGGGGTACAGCTTTGACCTAGGTTAAGTCAATCAATGCATTCCATATTTCTTGGCCACAGTGATTAAGTGAAAAATGGTTATATGACCTAAGCCAGTAAAATCAAAGATAGTCTCAGGACTTCTACAGAAAACAAAGGGATAAAGACACTCTCTCATTCTTGCTGGACCTAAATGAGGAAGCCCAGGGAGCTGCTGCAAGTTATCATGGAAGCCGCCCTCCAGAAGAGGAGAAAAGAAACCCAGTCCTTGGCAACAGTCTTTCCTGAAGCTTGTGCTGCTTTTGTACTTTTTTCAGTTACATGTACCAATTAATATCCTTGATTGTTTAAACAACTCTGAGTTATAATTTTTACTACTTGTAACTAAAAGCATTTTAAGTAAAACACATTTCAAAGAATTATGTGAATGAATGGCATTTTTTCTTAACCAGCAATGCTCTGTGGTTCCCATACATACTACAATCATCTAATATCAAGCTCCTCTAGTAGATAGCTTATTGTCTTGTATATCATCCTAAGGTGCTAAGTTAATAGAAATATCAGAAGACCCTCAATACAATATAGTCTACTGTCAGAACTACAGAACCAACTCTGAACATGGTATTATTCTCTAACTTCAATATCATTTATCTCCAAGGCATTCTGCTAGGTACTGAGATATTTTATATAAAAAGATAAATATATTCAAGGAACACGCTGGAGTGTTGTGAATAATTAGGGAATTATATTTTAGATGTATTCCATTTCTTTTAGTACAAAGATTAGGATCTATGTAATTTGTACAGTTTTATTAATTAGAAAGTCAAGGCCAATTTGAATACAGTCAGAGCACGTAAAAACATAATCAGAGTATGTTTTAAGGAGGGAGGTCAAGAAGGCTGCAGTCTAAGGAAGTTCCATCTGCTTGCTTTGAGCACTGGACCAGACTTGTAGCTAAAATGCAGAATGTTCAACTTGAAAAGCCAGCTGAAAAGTAGCTGATCTGACATACTGTGAGTGGGGAGTGCAGAGAGGGGACAGAAGATGAGTGGGTGAGCCAACTTGTGCAGCTGTGCAGTACAGCTGGGAAGCTGGAGGGTAGGTGTGGCAGCACAGCTCCTGGCCACTGGGAGCATGGCGTCTCAGACCCACATAGGGATCCCCAAACCAGAGCAACAGAGAAGGGAAGGGGAGCCCACGTAGCATCCGACAGTGGGAATCAGTGGTGATGTGATCCACCTGGAGGTGACTGGGTGGGGAGGACTCAGCACTGTCCCAGGCAAAAAGCGAGTGCTTGGTTACACCACCAGCCAGGAGAGCTCACCCTAATCTGTGTCCATGGAAGGGGCCACTCAGCAGAACTATGACTGGCAGAGGGGTCTGAGCCCATCACTCAGCAGTGAATTTGAGGGGCTGATTATTCTCTGAAAGAACTTTCAGCAGAGAGCAGGACAAGGGCCAGTAAGAGTACTCTGGGAAAGAGGTGTAATCCTCCACACCTCCAGCAAAGAGGAGGTCCTTCCCCCACCTGTGGAACAGCTCTGGGCTGGAAATATGCACCCATGTGGCTGGGCCTGGTGGCGCAGGGGACTTGGATATCTGGACTGGTGGAAGCCTGGGCAGAAGCCCTGCCCAGCAAGAGCATTGAGCCAGCCATGCTGAAAGATTAGAGATAAGCAGGGCTGGTTCCTTTTTTTTTAATTCCCTCCTGCTTGGGGTGGCAACAAGGGACACCAGTGACTCAGGCAGAGCTGAGGGATTGGAAGCAGAGGAAGCACCTGCCCACCCCTTCTACAAGCTACAGGCATCGCCCCAAATGTAAATCTGTCTAACCATCCACACCGTGACTGGATACCCCTACAGAGCCCAGTTCTGTGGGGGAAGGAAAAGCAGCTCAGAAAGTACTATTCAAGGGCCAAGTCCCAAAGCAGAAGCAACTTCTGGGTTAGAGAGGCCCTGTCCACCAGACTATTTGGGGATCTGCCCAGGCAGGTTGCTCAGGGCCAGGCTGGGACAGCAACTCACATTGGCCTGCACCAGAGAACTGCCCTGGAGGCCTGGCACCTACACACCAAAGGACTAGATCCAACAATATTGGAGCAAAATCCAGCAAGCTCCACAAGTAGCAGATCCAAACGTTTTTGTTTGGTTTGGTTTTCTCTTTCTCCTCTTTTTTTTTTCTTCTTCTATATTCTCTTATTGCTAGCTTTCATTTTAATCTATTTTTCTCACTCTCTTTATTTTTTTAATCTTTATTTTTAATTCAGTTTTTTCTTTTCTTTTCCCATTTTTCTTTTCCTAGTCTATATTTTATTTTGTTCAGTATTATTACTTTCCAAAATTATTATTTCATTCATTTTTTTTCCTATCTTTTATTGTTTCTACTTATCCTATTTCTGGTCTCTTCCTTCTTTGCTTTCATATTCTCTTTTTTGTTTTAGTTTCTCCTCTAATTTTTTTGGTCCTGTGTCTTCTGATATCCTTTTGTGTGTGTGTGTGTGTGTGTGTGTGTGTGTGTGTATTGTTTGTTTTTTAGACTTTTTGTTGGGGCTGTTTGTTTTCATGTTGTTTTTGGCTAGCTCTGGTTTTGTCTTTTTTGTTTTGTCTTGTTTTATCACCTGTATAACAGTTGGCATGATGTAGCTGGGTTGAGACTTACAGTCAACAAACCTGAGGGCTGGGCCCACCAACAAATGGGACAACAACAACAATCAAGACCCAAATTCCACAGGATAGCCAACATAATCCATACAAGGGTCATTCCTAGAGCACCCAGCTCAGAAGATCAAAGAGAATACTAGGTGTACCGGTTAATAATGGCAGATTTTGTAATCAAAGAAAACACGATAATTTCAAGAGAAACATCAAAAGTGCTTTATTCAAATAATGTCCATCACTAGCTACACATTTCCCCCATCTTTTAGGAGATACCATCCCAAAAGAACTTTTCTTGTTTTGAGGCAAACTATTCAGAACCCAATTTTCCACTTCTTTGTATGTTTTGAAGTGCTGCTCAGAAAGTGTGTGTGACATCGATCAGAACAAGTGGTAATCTGAAGGAGCAAGGTCTGGTAAATATAGCGGGTGGGTTAATACTTCCCAGGCAAGATCTTTTAACGTGTCTTTAACTGGTTTTGAAGTGTGTGATGGTGCGTCATCACAAAGCAAAATTACTTTGCTGTGTCTTCTGGCACATTCTGGTCATTTCACGATCAAAGCGTGGTTCAAATTGATTATTTGTTGTCAGTAGCAATAAGTATTAACCGTTTTACCTGGTTTTAGAAGCTCATAATACACCACACTTTCCTGATCCCACCAAACACAGAGCATTGTCTTCTTTCTGAAGGATTTGGCCTTGTAGTCGATGTTGATGGTTGACCTGGATCAACCCATGATTTTGTGCATTTGGGATTCTCAAAATAAATCCACTTTTCATCACCAGTCACAATTCGATGCAAAAAAGACTTTCTTTTGTGCTGTTGAAGCAACATTTTACTGTTGACTTTTCGGTTTTCCATTTGTCTTTCGTTCAGTTGATGTGGCACCCATTTTCCTTCCTTTAAAATCTTTCCCAT